TCTGTGAATCTCTACAACACAATTAGAGCTTCTCCTCTCTGTCTTTGCCATGAAGGTGCTTTAAGGACAAATCTTAGGATTCCCTGCAGACAAGGAGTATCAGCTTCCTAGGACTTCCAGCTTTTGTCTTCTCGTTCAGCACAACTAAGAGCATAATGTATTGCCCAGATTTGAGTGCCCACCATTGATGTTGCTAGTGAAAAAAAGCCTATAACATCAATGAAAGAAAATAAAAATAAATCACTCCAGGGCCATCTGTAAAAGGAAATACTGTGATTAACAGAGCCCTATGATTTTTATTGAAGATTGTTGTGTAAGACAAACAAAACCAGCAAAAAGAACCAAACAGTTTTAGAAGAACATCCTGCCATGTTTTAGTCATGTGCCACTTACGTAATCAGAAAGAAGTGACTAAAAAACTAGAACAAGGATTTCTGATTAATTTTGATTAATGAAATATCATTTGGTGAATGGTACTGGCAATCCAGAAAGTGTTTCAGACCATGCTCAGTACTATTATTCAAAATTTAATGATGGATATGTTTTGGTTTTAAATACCTAAAAATGCCACCAAAAGACTTCAGGATTTTGATATTTGATGAGAATCATTGCGCTGCTGCAAAACAAAGACATATAGACGCTGCAGGTAAAGCAATCTCTTCAGTTAGATGTCTGATGAAGCACTGTTCATTAGCAGAAAAAAAACTGAACAAATCCACCTAGTGAAATGTTCTAAAGAAACGAAACCTCAACGAATTCTGTACAAATGTAATTCATATTAAGCTCAGAAGAGCAAGTACAACATTGCAATTAAAGTTCAAAATGTATATCAAAAGTGATAACATTTAGATAACGTCTATATTACCTGGTGGAGAGAATAATACCAAGAAAGGGGAAGATGAAACACACGTAAAGCTACTGCCTTCAGAGAAAATCGTGCCTCAGTAACACCTTCTTCTGACATGGCTCCTTCTCTCCCATAACCTCATTAAGGGGAACTGTCTCGGAAACAGCCACAGACGGTCTCTGGAACACTCTGTCAATGGAAGGACACATACTCAGTCATGCCATGGGAGCCCGGGACAGCTTTCTGCTACAAGCTCGAATCTCTTACGTAACAGGTACATGACTTGTATGACTGATGCTTCTGAGTAGAGATAAGACTTGTGCTTAATGAGAAGACAGCAAATGTGCTGGCTCAGCTTAGGCCCCGGTGCTCCACCTGCTCCGTGCAGAGACCTGCCCACACCAGGGCCTGCAGGGACCCTCTGCTGCTGCCCCACCGCCCCCAGTCACGCACGGCAGCACCTCGGCTCCCAACATCACTGCGCTGGGAGCAACCTTCGCCACCTCCAAGAGCCAAAAGATTTGAGCGCAGCCAGGCAAAAAAAAAAAGTTTCTCTCGTTCACAGCTTCGCTGTTGTGCGCAGGCACACGATGAGGAACGAACCCCACAGCCTGACATAACCCCCACTGCGGGGCA